TCCTTCCATAGTATCTGTTACGGGGCATCTTCAGCACGTAGAGTAGAAGGACTTGTCGAAGAGTTGGTGAAAGAGAAAGTGAACATTACTGAGCAGTTAGAAGATAACTAAGCTATATTGCTGCCTAAAACACAGTACAGGTTCCTACCGTTTCAGAAAGGCAATTTGCCCTTATTATAATGCATATTACTTAAGTATGCTTTAGGTGAGTTAGAGACGAGACTAGCTTCACAGTCTCAAACCATAGGATAATTGTATGTATTATCCGACTAACGGCATCAAATAGAAAATCAATACACAATTGCCAAACGTGCCTAGATTGTTCACGTCATGTTATTATAGTGTATCCGGTTTTTTTTATTAAGGCTCTAACTGGATGTAGTACTGCTGATATCGGAAGCTCAGTCGAGCGATCATGCATGTTCAGTAGCACCAAAATCGATCTGTAAGTTTGAGCGTCGAGGGGGAGTTGTAAAGCAGGGGTCCGTCAATACACTATCAAGTTGTATTGGTAGCTGTGTTTGGCAATAACAAAGAGTTAAGTTTTGTTTAAAACAATAGCATATTTACACTTTATTGCCCAATATATGAGCACTTTACTATCACTTTCGTTTCATCGGACATCATTCTGGTAGAAATATGTACCTGTTAGCCAAGCTCTTTAGCTCTGCTACAACATACATATACATATATATATATACAGTCTTAAGCTGTCGGTAACAGTATTTCATTCTTTTTCGAGATTTTAAGAAATGTCGGTATCAGATTTTTCGAAGTAGAAACGTGGTTCCAGACGACGAAATTTTACCACATCAATGTAACAAGATGCAAGTCATACAGCAGCCACCAGCACTGCGATAGTTTTTAGTTTAAGACCTTCAGGTTGAGACTTGACATTTTGTCTGCATATGAAACGGCGTCAAACAAACTGATCCTTACGAACCATTTTGAGTTGTCGAGAAAAACGGCTTCAAAGATTGGCGAGTTTAATTCGAACTTAAATGATTTTTTTTTTGCAAACAGATCCTGTTCCCACAGTGACCCATTTTCTCAAGGTGTATCGAAAGCGATCTAGAACTCAACCGAGCAATGGACATGCATCCAGCCGCCTTCTCCACTCCGGCACCACCCACCAGTCTTGCAAGTCCCAGTGTGTCGTCCGAGCAGGGCGTTGCCCTTTCTGGTGAAAGAAGGCTGCTTGGGTTGCTGAGACCGGATCAGTAAGGCCACAGTGACATGAATTCCGACGACAGTGTGTGGGAACCTGTCTCCGAAGGGTCAAGCGCAGAGTCAAGTGCTGAAGAGGTTCAGGATGGACTGTCGGACGAGGAGTTTCTGGATGAGTTTGCTGAGGACAGAAGCATCAATTTGTGCGACGAGGACTTTCACGACAAAGTGGTCGGCTTAATCCAGCGAGACAAGTGGCCTTAGCTATTATTTAACTAGTTTTTTGCACTCTCACAAGTGTAAAGGAGTTGATTTAATTTTATTTGCTAAAACTGAATACTGTTTTAACAAAATGATGAAAGTTCAAATTGAAAAATATGAAGGTTGGGCGAAGGTTTTTAAAGGATCAGACAACAATTGCGCCTGGCCCTAGAGGCCTTGGGGGGGGGGGGGGGGGACACTCTTGTCGGCAGGAAGGCCACGAGCAACCGGCACTTACCGGTGGCATGCTACCAAATACATCTTGTATACCTCTACCCAAGTAATCTACTCTGGTCTGTACCGTACTAGGGCACGAGCTCGCTACTGCAATGATATTTTGCATTTTTTTTCCTTCAAACAAGCATGCAAACAGATCTGAGTTTAACAAGCTTTGAGGACACCAAAACGGAAGGAAGGTTGATGCGCATGGGTGAGGTTACAGTGCAAGGTGAGGTATCCACTGCAAAATCTAGTC